GCGGGGGTCACAGAGCGCGGGGGTCACAGAGCTCCGGGGGTCACAGAGCGCGGGGGTCACAGAGCACGGGGGTCACAGAGCGCGGGGGTCACAGAACGCGGGGGTCACAGAACGCGGGGGTCACAGAGCGCGGGGGTCACAGAGCACGGGGGTCATAGAGCGCCGGGCTCACAGAGCGCCGGGCTCACAGAGCGCGGGGGTCACAGAACGCCGGAGCGGGGCCGCTCCCCACCCGGCACGGCCGCTCAACCGGGAGCGGCCCCCGGGGCGCCTCCGCTCCGAGGGCAGCGAGGAAGGGAAGGAGGGAAGAAGGAAGGAGGGAAGGAAGAAGGAGAGGGAGGAAGGGATCCCCGGACCTACCTTAGCGCCGAACTTGTGGCTGTGCTGCACGAGCAGCGGCCCCTCCATGGCCGGCGGCTCCATCCCCGAGCGCTTCCGCCCGCGCCGCTGAGGCGGGGACCGAGACCGGGCGGGGACGGAGATGGGGCGGGGACCGGGACCGGGCAAGGACGGGGATGGGGCGGGGACCGGGCGGGGACCGGGACGGGGACACGCGTGTCAGGGGCGGGGCGTGCTCGCGTGTGCGCGCGTGCCCGAGTGTGAACATGTGCGCGTGCCCGAGTGTGAGCGCGCGTGTGCACACCTGTGACCTTGCGCGCACACGCGTGACACAGGTGTGCGCTCCCTCTGGGGACGGGAAAACGCGCTCGGGTGGGCGGAGGATAAGCGAGGGCAATACGGGGAGCGGACAAGGGAGAGGTGAGGTTTTCACAGGATGGCAAAAACGGGTGATGGCTTTGATAGGAGGAAAAAAAGAAGTGGAGAACTAGAGGCTGCTTACATCAAGCTCATAGTCCAAGAAAATCGTGGAATAACCAGGTGCTCGCAGAGAGAGCAGAGAAGGCAAAATCGCAGCTGTGTATGCACAGCCCTGCACGACTTCATTCCCTGACTTTGTGGACGGAGTAATCCCATCCATATCTCTCTAGGTCCAACCATGCCATGTCCCTGGGCACCGAGGCCGCTCCAGGGGCACTGGGCTGCTCCCAGTACTGTCCCTGCCATGGCACACCACTCCAGTCTGCCCCAGAAGCCTCCTGCAGAGTCAGGCTGAATCCAGCGTTCCCAGCTGCAGGTGGGACAGGTGCTGGCTGTGAGGCAAAGGATAAGGACAAGTACAGCCTGTGCTCAGCACACCCCAGCGTGGGTGACCCAGTGTGGTGGCACTCTGATGGCACTGTGATCCTGCCAGGTCACTGCTGGTCAGACACTCTTGGGTTTCTTGCTGCTTTGATGGCCCAGGCACCATGACTTGTTTTCCTGACACAACATAAACCTGCAAAGGGAAGAGGGAGAAGCTACAGATCCTGGTTTTACAGGCCCTCATGCCCATTTCTCCACCTGTGGTTTTGATGAAACGACTGCAGGTGGGGAGAGCTGCTGAGTGGAGCTTTGCAGTGCCTGGATGGATGCAGGGGTGACTCTCTGCACTGTCCCAGCTCCACCCCTCATATTTGCATGGTAATAAAACTGTGTTGGTGTCCTGGTTTAGGAATGACATTCCCCAATTAAGTGTTCACATTGAAACATCCCAGACCAATTGCTCACAGCCCTACCCTCCCCCAAGGCAGAACGGAGAGGAGAATTGGAGGCACAAAAATTAAAGATCACACAGGCTGAGATAAGAACAACGCACTAGAAACAGCAGTGGGATGTAACCACAGCAATACCAATAACACCGTGTACAACACAGATGAACGATCAGACCACAAACCCTGGCAAAACAATGACATCAACAAAACAGGCACGGTGGTCTGAAAAAGAACAAAATTATTAGATGGCGTCAAACACCCCGGCCAGCGTGTAGGCAGGGCTCTGTGGTGTGCAGCTGCAGGACAGGGAGCTCATGACGTGGCAGCACATCTGCAAACCACAGCCCGTGGGACGGACACAGCCACGAGCTAGACGAGCGTCAGCAGCTCAGAGCAGGGTGGCACAAGGCAAACAGCCTGACACAGGCAGGTGAGTCACCTGCGAGGCACATGGCACGCACCTGGACAGGCATCGCACCCCAGGCCTGGCATGAGGGTGTGGCCAGGGAGGTGCCAGCTCAGTGGTGAACACAAGGAGATAATGACACTCGACTCCTCGGCAACAACTCTGGGGCTGTGGGGTCCCGGCAAGCTTCAAAGGCAGGAGAAGGAAGTGTCCTCGGGCTGCAGCGGGAGAACCCCCGCAGTTGGCGACGTGGGGCACCGGGGCTGGCGTGGGCACCAGACGGGGCCCCGGTGCCCGGAGGCGGCTGCAGCTCCGGGAGCTCCGGTCCGTGAGCTCCGCGGCTCAAGCATCGCCTCCCAGGGTCTCCACACGGATTTCGGGGACCCCCCCCCTCCGCTCCTCCCTGCGCCCCGGCCCCACCCGCGGGGCCGCCCCCTGCGCTGCGGCGAGCGCGTCCCCGCGGGGAGGGCGGGTGGTGGAGCCGCCCCTGCGCGGAGCCCTCCGCGTACCTTCCATCCCCCGGCAAACATTCCACCCCTCCGCGCACCTTCCATCCCCCGGCAAACATTCCACCCTTCCGCGCACCTTCCATCCCCCGGCAAACATTCCACCCTTCCGCGCACCTTCCATCTCCCGGCAAACATTCCACCCCTCCGCGCACCTGCCATCCCCTCCGACAAACACTTCATCCCTCCCCGCGCACCCTCCATCTCCCCCGCGCATCTTCCATCCCCCCTGCGCATCGCTCTGCGCACCCTCCATCCCTCCGCGCATCTTTCCCCGCATTCCTCCGTTTCTCCGCGCACTCCTCCATCTCTCCGCGCATCTCTCCCCGCATTCCTCCATCCCTCCGCGCATCTCTCCGTGTCCCCCGCGCACCCCGCGCCGGCAGGGCCGCTCCTGCGCGGGGATGGCGGAGCGGCCGCGCTTCCTCTGCGGCGTGGTGGAAGGTAGGTCCCTCCGGGGCCGCGGCCGCCCGGGCATTGCAGGGGCTGTTCCGATCCACCCGAAGTGAACCGGGGTCAGGAAGGGCTCCAGGTTTTGGGGGAGGCGGGAGCGGGGCCCTTGCACAGCACCCCATCTCTGCCAGGGGTCTGGACCAGCAGCTCTGGGATGCTCCCAGGTCTACCCAGAGCCCTACTGAGCCCTGCAGCCACCCCAGCAGAGCCGAAACCCCCACAGGGACCTTCTGCTCAACCTCCAGAGCTCTACACGGCATTCCTGGCTGCTCTGGACTCAGGGCAGCTTGCCAGCGTATTCCCCCTGGCCATGGGACAGCAGTGCAGGACCCCTGCCCAGAGCTGGCCAGGGAGAGTTCTGTGCTTCTCCCTCCCCACATCCCAAACTCCCTCTGGAGCTGAGCCAGGCCTGGCACCCACCAGGCAAAATCATCTGCCCTTCTCCTGGCAGCACAGTACCCCTGTGAGGGGCAGTGCTCTCTGCCTCACCTGAGAGGAAGCAGGAGCACCCATGCAAATAAATGTAAAATAAACAGGAAATGCAGGGGTGGAGAAGCTGACATGAGTCAGACGTGAATCACTGATATAGTAGAGCTGACCTGGGAAAGAGGACAGGGATGATGCTGGCAAATCCATTCCAGGAGAGCACTGCTGGCAGGGCGTGTGCAGGACTGAGTGGCCTCCCTGCCAGCCCACATCAGTTCACAGCAACACGTGCTGTGAAAGTGTCACTAGCAGCTGCCATACAGGGACTCTGGGGACCTCGCTGAGATCTCAAAATAGCAATTTATTTACCACAGAAATAACTTTATTGGGCAAAATATTTGCTGGGATTCGCAAGTGGCCACAAATTTGGCCCCATGCACAGTGGGGGATGGATAGCAAGGTGACTATATATTAATTCAAAGCATATGGAATAACCATGTAGGTGTTCAGGCAGGTAGAAAATCTGTCTGCAGAGAGAAGACAGATGGAGAGTGGGTGTTGTTGTGGTGCAACCACCCTCACCGTTGCCCAGGACTGGTGCTGGGGGCTGCAGGGTGGGCTCCTGCCAAAGGGAACTAAGAGAATGAGGGCAGATGAGCTCAGGGACACAGAGGTGCTTTGGGAAATGCAGGTGCTTCCCTGGGCGTCACTGGCCTCATGCCAGACACGGAGAGCTGATCCTTTCTCCCAGCTTAATGGAGTCAGTGCAGCCTGCCCTGTGCACCACCCAGTTTTGGGAGTGTCGTCACTTCCCAAATATCGGCTCCCTTGGCCCTGAGTGCTGGATTTGATTGATTCAAAAGTTGCCCATGATGCAGAGAAAAAGCAGAAGATGCCTTGATGGCCAATTGCCATCACTGTCCAAAACATAATGGATTTTCTGTGAGACTTCACGTTGCATCTGCCAGATCTTGAAGAGAATTTAAGTGGCTGAAGGTTCTTCTCTTGCTAAATCGCAGGCTGGGACACTGACAGGTTCCCCTTAACCTCTGCTTTGAGGAGCAGACAAATCTGCATCTCTCATTTATCAGCCTGTCCCCAGGGGAAGGGGTTTGTGTTCCTCTGGATATCCTTTCTCTCTGGCTTTGCAGACAGCTCTGCACCTCCCAGATCCTCCCACATGCAGAAATAAGAAGTGGTCCCAACAGCAGAATGGGTGCTGCATTCAGGGATAGCCCAGAACAAGACTGTTTTAAGGCACTTTCCAGCAACTGCATTTTGCCTTTTTCCCCCTCCCTTTTACAGGTTTCTACGGGAGACCATGGTCAATGGATCAGAGGAAACTTCTCTTTCAATGGCAAGTACCCTGAATTTTCCTCTCTGAAGGGGTGGTAACAGCCGAGGGGTCTCATGTTTCTGTAGTGTCCCCCTGTCCCAGCGGGGAACAGGATCGGCGCTGGGCCGGGCTGTGGGTGCTGCGGGAGGGACGGACGGACGGACGGACGGACGGACGCGGGGCCACCCCGTGCCGGCAGGTGGTGCTGGGGCTCCGCACAAGGACCTGCCACCAATGAACCGGGGCTCTGCAGGGCCTCCCATGGGCAGTGCAGTGGCGACAGTGTGGGCAGTGACAAGTGTAATTAAGGACCAGAGATGCAGGTACAAAAAATGGAAGGAAAACAAGCTGCGATGTTTTAAAGTACCTCAGGAATGAGAAAATCTAATGGAGGCCTTGTCTGGTGCTGGACTAGGATGTGTTCACATGGTGGCATTAGGGTGATAATCCATCGATATTTTTTTTCTTATCTGGAAAGGAACAAAATAAGGGACTTTTATCATGAGATACCTGAAATGCTTTCTACTCTGTTCACCGTGGGAAAATGTAAAACACTGTCTGCTGAGGAGGATAAATAAAACCAAATGGATATATCAGATGGCTTCCATACAGAAGTGCCAAAAGAGGGAGGTGTCTGCCCTCCCAGGGGGCACATCCTACTGCTCTCTGACACAAACCTTAGAGCTCAGCACTGGGAGCACTGGCTGAGATTTCTGTCTCCATGTGGCCGTGCAAAGAGCCTGGGTGACTCCTTGCTCTCCCTGCACAGGCTGCAACGCCGGGGGCTGAACTGCTACATGTACGCACCCAAGGATGAGCTGAAGCACCGGCTGCTCTGGAGGGAGCCTTACACAGAGCATGAGGCAGGTAGCGGCTCTGCTGGGCCCCTCGGGGGGCTGCAGGCATCCCAGGTCCCTGAGGGGAAAGCATGGGCTGTGTCCCAGCTGTTTCCATCCTGCCAGGACCTTGCCCATTGCACGGAGGCCCCCAGACCTTGCCAAGGGCAAGAAGACTCCCAGGTCGTGCCCATCAGATGGAATTGCCTCAGGGACCACCCAGCTTCCCATATGGGGCTCAAGCAATGTGCTTGATTATACCCAGGCCCACAGACCCTTGTCAAAAGTCCTCTGTGCCTTAAGGGAGTGGGAATGGTTTTCCTGGAGCCTCTCCCCTTCCAGTGACCTCAGCTCCTTCCTTTCAGAATTCTGGGGTTCATTCTCCCTCCACCCCTTGTCCTGTTCCACTCCCTGTCCCCCTTAATCCCTTGTGCTGCTCCATCCTTTGTTTCCTTCCATCCCTTGTCCTGCTCGATACTTTTTCTCCCTCTATCCCTTATTCCCCCCAACCCTCGTCCTGCTCCATCCCTTATTTCCCTCCATCCCTTATTCCCCTCCATACTTTGTCCCCCTTCATCCCTTATTCCCCTCCATCCTTTGTTCCCCCTTCATCCATTGTCCCCCTCTGTTCCTTGTCGCCTTCCATCCCTTATTTCCCTCCATTCCTTCCATCCTCTTCCATCCCTTGGTCCTGCTCCATCCTTTTTCTCCCTCCATCCCTAGTCCCCCTCCATCCCTTGTCCCATTCCATCCTTTGTCCCCCTCTACCCCTTGTCCCGGTCCTCCCCGTGTCTCCCAGCTCTCACAGACCCCCTGTGCTCTGTCCCCAGCCCGCATGCGGTCTCTCATCGAAGCTGCCCAAGAGCAGGGTGTGGAGTTTATTTTCGCCATTTCTGCTGGCCAGGACATGGTGTTTTCCAGTGCTGGGGATCGCCTCCTGCTGCAGCAAAAACTCAGGCAGGTACCGTGGGCCATTCCTTCATCCCACTGCTCCCAGGCAAGGGGCACATGTGTTTATGTGTGGTCCCTGTGCCCACCCCGTGGGCTGCTGTGGGTCCTGCTGCTGCACAGAGGTACCAGCTCTGGGGTGCCCAGTGGACAAAGTGCTGTCCCTGTCATGGTGACAGAGAGCTGAAGGCTCCATGGATGCCTGACTGGGGGCAGGAGAAGGACCAGCCGAGCCTCAGAACCCGCTGGGCAGCACTGAGGGTTGGCACAGGCTGGAGCAGAGCCCCAGGGAGGGCAAAGAGCCACTGGCACGGTGGGGTTGTTCCGTGGGCAGCTGCTGCTCCCTTGGCACAGCCCAGGCAGGAACTGCCCTGTGCTGTGCTGTGCCCAGATGTTCTCTCCAGCCCCTTGGGGCTCTCTGCTGCCCGGGGGTCCCAGCAGCCCCTGTCTGTGCCCACAGGTGGCTGCCATGGGGTGCCGCTCCTTCGCGCTGCTCTTTGACGACATCGACCCCTGCATGTGCCAAGCTGACAGAGATGTCTTCCCCTCCCTGGCACAGGCTCAGGCCTCTGTGGCCAACGAGGTGTACCAGGAGCTGGGCCAACCCTCCATCTTCCTCTTCTGCCCTACAGGTACTGCCCACAGCCCCAGCTGCCCAAACTGGGGAGCCCCCTCAGACTGGGCTGCCCTTTGGCTGCACCCAGCCCCTGTTCCTGCTGAGAGCTGAGTGCCTGACAGTCCCCACACTCTCCCTGAACTCCTCACACTCCCAGAGGAGCTCTGGACATCTCAGGATTAGATTGCAGCAGGGCCCCTGTCCATGATCTGGCACTCCCTCCTCTCCCAGCTCTCAGGAGATGCTCTGTGCTCTCTCCCCAGAATATTGCAGCTCGCTGTGCTCTCCCAGCCCCAGCCAGTCCTGCTACCTGCAGACCATCGGCCAGGAGCTGCTCCCAGGGATCGGTGTCATCTGGACAGGTGAGTGCCAGGACCAGCTCTGGGTGTGTGGCCACGTGGAGTGTCTGCAAACCCTGTGGCCATGGGCTGTCCTGGGAGAGCCACCAGCAAGTGACCCCACTCTGGTGCCTCACATTGGGGTGTGCAGCCCCAGCCAGGCAGGAGTTTGAGCTGGGGGTCTGCTCTCCTGACTTGGGAGTGTGGGTGTGGTGACTGGAACCTCATCTCCATGTCCTTGTCCCTGCTGTGTGTCTGTGATGGACCCTGTGCCCCACGTGTGTCCCTGCCCTGATGCCCCAGGCCCCAAGGTGGTGTCACAGGAGCTCTCAGCAGTGCTGCTGGAGGAGGTGGAGGCTGTCCTGAGGCGCTGCCCGGTCATCTGGGACAACCTCTATGCCAACGACTACGACTGCAGACGTGTCTTCCTGGGTCCCTACATGGGCCGTGCTCCTGGCCTCATGTCCAGGCTCCATGGGCTGCTCCTCAACCCCAACTGTGAGCTCCAGGCCAACTTCATCCCCATACACACGCTGGGCACCTGGTTTCAGAGCGAGCTGGGGAGCTGTGCCCCCCCTGACCATGCAGGTACCCCTGTGCCTAGGCAGCTCTGTGCCTGCCCATCCTTGGCCAGCCCTGCAGCTTTCCTGCACGGAACCAGGGCTGCCCAGGCTGATGAGCTGCAGTTCCTCAGGAATGGAGGAGGTGACAGCCCTGGGGGACAGCCAAGGTGCTCAGGATGGAAGCTACAGCCCCCAGGAAGCCTTGGAACTGGCACTGCGTGACTGGGTGGCCGAGATAAACCAGCAGGCCTTGGAGCCAGGTAGGCAATGCATTTGTGCATTCAGCATCCCTCAGTGGAGTGCTGGATCAGTTCTGCCAGGAGCTCAGGGGGTGGGGGGTGAGGGAGCCCCAGCCCTGCCCATCTGGAGGGTCTCTGGGGCTGCTGTGGCAGCAGGGTGTGGGTGTCCATCCATGGGTGCTCCTGCCATGGCCACATCCTGGAGAGGGTTTCCTTGTCTGGCAGAACCAGAGCCTAGGCCAGCTCTGGAAGAAGAGTTCAGCCAGGGGAGAGCTTGGTGTTTTGCAATGTTTGCCTCTGCAAAGCCACAGCCTCACCAGCCCTGGGGATCTGAACTCGAGCCCAGGGCCCTGGCAGCTCATGCCCTGCCAGCTCAGAGATGGAGGTCCCCAGCACTGTGCTGCCCCATGGGCAGTAGTTTCCATGCAGGTGCCACAGGATCTTCCCTCTTGTTCCTTTCTGGCAGGAGGAAGGACCCCAGGACACCCCAGTGTCAGCCTCAAGGGAGGACCAAGGCTGCAGCCTGGCACGGAGGGAGGACAGGAGGTCACTCCCAACCCTCAGTCCCAAAACTCTGCTCCTGGTGGGGCAGATCAGCCCAGTCCTGAGCCCTGCAGAGTGGCACCAGAGGAGGGGTGCAGGGAGGTGACCCCAGAGCCTGAGAAGGACAGTGGGAACAGGACACCCCCTGGCCATCAGCAGAGCCCTACAGGGGCTGAGGACCAGCTCTCCACAGGGAGCAGGGAGAGCTGTGAGCCCTCCTCTGCTCTGCCCAGTGAGGCTGGCAGTGCCCTATCTGTAGGAATCCCAGTGGCCACCAAGATCCTCCCCAGCCCAAGCTCCACCATGAGCTCCAGCAATGGGGCCAACACCAGTCAGAACATTTCCCTGCCCACCAGTGATGCCAGGACAGGGGATGGCAGCCCCGTCCAGTCTCCCAGCAGCACCCAGCCTGAGGCCATCAGGACTGATGTGCCCCAGACACCCCCAGGACCTGGGGCTGATGCCACCCCTGGTGCCCCAGCCCCACTGATCGATGAGGTTGATGCTAGCCCTGGTCCTATGGCACCAGTGACCCCAGAGGAGGCTGAGTCTGGCCCCATAGCACCACTTACCCCCAAGGAGGCCACAACCAGCCCCACAGCACAGGTGACCCCAGAGGAGGCTGGGTCTGGATCCATGACCCCCAAAGATGCCAGGACCAGCCCCATAGCACAGGTGACCCCAGAGGAGTCCAGGACCAGCCCCCTGGCACCAGTGACCCCAGAGGAGTCTGGGTCTGGATCCATGACCCCCAAGGAGGCCAGGACCAGCCCCACAGCACAGGTGACCCCAGAGGAGCCCAGGACCAGCCCCCTGGCACCAGTGACCCTGGAGGAGGCTGAGTCTGGATCCATGACCCCCAAGGAGTCCAGGACCAGCCCCACATCACAGGTG